TTATTTCTTTGTTTTTATATTTTTATGGATGTATATTTTTACCTATCTATTTATATTTTTATATTTTTTTTTCTTTTCTATTAATACTTTTTGTTGTGTTTCACAAATTATTATATTCGTATATATATTTTTAATTTAACTATTACTATTATCTTCTTTTTACTAATTTATATATATATATTTGCGTTATTATTATATATGTATACTTTTTTTTCTTCATTGATTATTTTGCTTAATGTTATATTTTAATATATATGTATATATATGTATATCTATGTATATACTTGTAATAGTTTATTTATATATCTATTATATTATGTGTACATTTCAAACATTTTATTCGATTACCTTTTTCTTTACTTTGTTTTTATTCTTTGATGATCATCTTTTTATTCATTGTAATTTATTTATTCGTTGGTTGTATGTAGATTATCAATGTTTCATTTATTTATTTTACTCTGCTTATTAACCCTTTTTTTTTTTTTTAAACAACTATTTTTATCTTCATTCTTGTTTCCCTTATTTTTTTCATTTTTTTTATTTTCGTTCTTTAACGTCTGTATTGTTAAGGGAATTTCAATCAATCAAGGGTAAGTAGTTCAGATCGATGTTTTACCTTTTAGTTTAACTTTCAATTCTCTTAATTAAAGACAACTGGAAATTACATAGTACCGAAAGGGCAGTTCAAGGGTGCTAATCCTTCCTTGGCTGTAATCGATTCCCGAGCCCGACATATTTCCGGTAAGACGCAGATCAGGTAAGATGGTGTCCGACCCACCTAAATTCGTTTTAAAGTGGTCGGTGGCGACTCCAATCCACATTTTTCAAGTCGAAGCCCAATTCCGGGGCTCAACGGAAAGACGGTTGCGACAGCGAGCAACTTGAAATGTTAACACATGTATGTTGTTGTTTTTTAAATAAAATAAAATAAAATTTAAGGATTTCATGTACTTAAAATTCATGTTTGAGCTCTACTTTGAGCTTCAATTGAACTAAGTTTGAGAATATTTTGAGTTTAATTTTTTCGAGTCGAGCTTGAAAAATTTAAACTCGCGAGATTTCGTGTCGAGTTCAATTTTATACTTTTCAAGTTGAGTCGAACTCAACATGAGTTAAACTCAATAATACCCAAACTTGATCTGACTTATTTACAACCCTACTCACCAGGGTGAAACTAACTCTAAAATTTGTAAATATGTAAACTCGAAATTGTTGGTAATCATTTATTAATCATACGATGATGAATGTTTTTTTTACCTAAATTTATAGTAAATTTTTTATTTTAATATATTATATAAAAAATAATTTTATAATAATGCATAATATTATACTATAAATATCGTAAAATATGTATGCGTATAGTGTATACTTCATGTGTTATTATATATATATAAGTTTAATATATTTTTATAATATAATATCATTAAATATGTTGAGCTGTTTCGTATGGGTGAGTCCATCAAATTCAATTTGGGGAACAGTAGAGAGCCCAAAAGATAATGTTGGGGCACATGTGATTGTAATCACATAGGACGAGACATTTCTCTCGTCTAAATATGATAGCGGTCTAGGAAAAATAGAAAATGTCGTACGATTTGAATTTTTAACTTTTATTATGCTAAATTCTTAAAATAATTAACTATACAATCGAATAAACTAAAAGAAACTAATCAATTAAAATCATTCTATTTTACAATAATTTGAGAATTCAATTTAACTAATTTAAAATTAACTTGACCCGATTAATTGTTATATCGAACTACAATAATTTAATTAGTTGGGAGTATTATTTATTAAGGTAAAGCAATGTTCCATGACTAAATGATATTGTTTTGTTGATTCATTTGACTATTAAAAGTTATAAAATAATCTTTCGATTATAAGACGTCGTTTATTGAATCTCATGATTATTAAAAATTATAAAATAGTCACTCGACTGTTCATATGTTTCAAACTCGTCATTTTTCGTCAAAAAATTGGTGGTCATCGACGTTAAAATGCTCATTGGGATATGATATAAGAATTGTTTGAGTTGTATTTTGTGGATGAACTCTTTGTTTACATTATGTCGTCGAGTCAATGCTTGAAACATTATATCATTGAATTAGTATTTGAAAGCAACAACAGTGTCAATGAACATCATTAAATATGATTTATTGTATCCCTAATCAGTATATTAACATCCAACTCAGACGGTTGTTATTTTTTTAACAGAAAATAATGAATTTATAACATATTAATAGTCAGGGGACCATTTGTATACATTACCCAATTTATTATGTCTCTCTGGTAGGCGACCGAAAACCTTTACGGCCATAACGTCTTGTTGTTAGCCCATTGTATGAGCACACTGATCCATCAATACGCGGCCGCTCCCCAATCAAATCAACTCCGCTGCTTTCTGTCCACCTCAATTACTTTAAATTAAATTTCTTGAATTTGGATTATATTACATAATATTAATATCAATTTATTTTAAGTGCACTGTAATAAAAAATCATTTTTTATATTTCTATAATATTTTTTATAATATTATCATATTATTTAAAAACTATAATTAATATTATATTGATTTAGTTTTAATCCGATATGATTATATAATTTTAGAGGCAAACAGTAAGCACGAATCTAGAAGTGGGCATTGACCCCTTAATTCAAATGGGTAAATTGTCGTTTTACTCATTCTAAAAGAATTTCACTTCAATTTCAGTGCTTTTATGGGAAATTATTCCCTTGACCATCTACGAACTATAATTTTTTTGCTCCCCCAAATGAAACTGTGACTTCACCTTTGAGTAAGTACATGCAATAGCAAGAAAACTTTGACAGAAGTTGTAATAGACGTCCGATCTTCTTTCCTGTATAAAATTATAAATTTCAGGGACTAGATACTATTTTATCCCATTTTCAGCCATAGCTAATTATTTCTTCAAAACAGTAACATTTGCTTAGAAGCGAACAATAAGCTTTTGAGACAATGAAAGTTTGCTGTTACAATCATTTGGTTATACTTATAGGGTTGGACGAGGATCACTCATTTGTAGCTTCAAAAGTTGGACTTAACTGCTTTTAGATTAAATAGTTAATTGAATTTAGTTTGGTAGACATCGTTAATATAACATATAAGATCATGTTCAATACGTATTATTTTTTCATTCAAAGATAAAAAATCAAAGATTATTTTAGATCGAACTCTAATATCAATCGAGACTAAGATGATATTTGGAATTGACTATTATATACATATATATATGTATATATGTGTGTGTCAAAATGTGTAATCTTTTAGTCTTTTATTTTATTATGATTATTATTATAATATCACAAAGATATAACTTGAACGTATTATCTTTTGGTTTAAGAATAAAAAATATTTAATTTCTAGAACTCATAAAAACATAATACTTTTGCAAACTCGATTAAAATTGGAAAAAAAGAAAGGAAAAGTAAAAGTGTGGATTATTGCAAAGTGTTAATGCGTGGATGTTGCAGAAGCATCTCCAACTACTCAATCATTTGCACCTTAAAACAATAATCATTCCTTAACTAATTTAATTTGAAACAAAAACTAAAGGTATTTATGTCGAACATGTTTTAATTACTTTTGGTGACGTAACGAACTCATGAAATTTCTCTTATTAATTTGCAATAATGCATGCCGACCGAACCCAACTTTTGTCTTTTCTGTGCGATTAAGGTAAATAATTGAAGATGAAATCTATTAATATCTTTCGTATATGAAAAATAACTATATTTCAAATTTCATTTAAAAACATATTTCCATGCTTAAATTAATATGATTCTAGATATTTTAACTCAAATAAGAATAAGATCATACATGATTACATAGTATATTGATATTGGCACCCCACATATATTTTTTTTATATTTTAGCTTCTTTTTTTTAAAAAAAAAATTAAATTTATAGAGGCACCTGAAAAGTAGCTGAATAAATTGCATAAAAGAGCATGGATAACGATGACACATTGAGCTGTTGTTGAGATAACTCCTGAGGGATTGTATGAGTAAAATCTGAAAGGGACCAAACGTGAAGTAAAATGGCAAAGACTTTGTGTCTTCACCATCAACATCGTCTGCCAAAGCTTTTAATGCTTATATCGACTCAAATTGTTGACATGCCATCATGCTCACCAGAGCTTGATGCTATCATTCATGTGAGTTTTTTTCCCCTTTAATAATCAAGAATGATTATAAAATGTAATCAAATGTCATTTTACCGTTATATATATTGACGTGATAATCAATAGATGATAAATTGTTGACCTGGCCACTGTGTTATATACCATGGCAACTAGTAATATGGTCGTTGAACTTTAAAAAAAGTTAATTAAACCCCATAGTTATAATTGAAGGATTCAATTGGGCGTAAAAGATTACGAGAGGCTTATTATTTTTTAAAAATATCGAGGGCTTATTTTATTAGTAAACTAATATTTTGATAATGTTATTATCTAATGAATTAAAAGAAATAATTCTTATTTTCACTAGTTTAATTAATTATATATAAATGTTTAAATTTATAATGATAATTTTTTTATAAATAACTTTAAAGAGTGAAAAAGGAAATTATCAATGCAGTTTAACCGGTTATTTCGGTTTGGTTAGGAAGAATTTAGCTCGATTATTTTGAATTTAATAATTAATTTATTAATTTTTAATAATTTTACATATTATCATTGAATTAAATTTTGAGTTAATTCGTTATAATTATGTATCGAACATATAAAACAATGAAAATAAAAAGGATCAAAGCAGCCAAATTTCCATTTCTCAACCAAATTTGGTTGTAAATAAATGACAGAGATATTCTTACAAGCATTTAATCCCAAGATTCACAGCAAAAAAGACCCGAATGTTAAAAACCAAATTTTTGGTTAATCTTCTCATCAGTACCCCAAAGGACATTCCTAGCACTATTTAGAATCCCATTATTTTGCATTCATGCCCTTCATCTTTTTACAAATTCAACAAAGGCGTCATCATTTCCATTTCTTTTTTCCTTTTGGTTAGCAAGTGTAGAACTCGGCCAGCTCTTCCATGGCTCCCAATTGAGCTCCATCGTTCTCGAGCATCCAAAGCAAGTGCTCGAACAAAACGACCTCGCAAGAAACCACGACTTCACCGTCTTCACCGCCGGAATTGCCGACGGACCGATCGATCAGCTCTTGGAACAGAGGGTGGCAGATGATCTCCGACCTCACGAGGTATCTCCGTCGCGACTTGCCAACGTAAACTGCGTGAAGATCCGTCGGGATACTCGACTTATCTTCGGAATCCGATGCCGCTATGGCGCTGCCGGTGCGGGTCAGTTTGGTTAGAGACGGCCATCTTTTTATTGCAGACTTGAGCTTTATTAGCTTGCCAATTTTCGCCATATATATATATATTGCTTTGAAATTCAAGTCTTTTGAATATAGAGATTGAGGAGACTGTTGAAGAAGAGGGAGGAGCTTTGTGTTTGAGTTGAAGTGCAGAGAAAAATAGAGGAAGCTTCGTATATAAAAGAATGGAGCGGGACCATTGTTAGACAGAAAGGCAGACATTGATGGAGATAAATAATAGGTCAAATTCTATTAAAGGTCCCTGAATTATTTTCATCAAATAGTTTGACGTTTTTGTTACAATTTTTGTATTTGATGGAATTAATGAAAAGTTGGCCTCACAATTGGAAATACATATAACAAAACAAAAAGGTAGAAATGATGAAATTACAGTAGTGGATTAGATCTGTCAAAAATATATAGTAGAGGGACCTATTATAGAATTTGAGTGAAATATAATTGCAAACGGGAAATACGAGATTACGGCCCACTGTTTGATATATACCAGTTAAGAAGATATATACCAGCTACGAAGAGATATATGGGGTGCAAAAATCCAAGAAACCAGTGCCCTCTGTTTGACCATTTGGTGGGGACATTTCGTAGGGCTGAACAGAACTATATTTAATTAAAAAAATTAATTATTTTTTTGACTCCTTTCGATATTAAAAAATTAAAATAGTAATTATATAAATTTGATTTGATTCAAAATAAATTTAAATTTGAGTTAAATTATAAATAAAATCCGAATAACTTAAATTTTTTAGTAATTAATGAAATAATTTTTGAAGTACAAGTCGAGTCCCTTAACTCTACATGATATACGTATATTATATATTATAAAATGAACATTTGACCCGAACTTGATGGATTATGACTTGATCTTATAGGGTCTAATTTTTTTTTTCAAAAAATGGACTTGGTCAATTTGATTTTTTTAAGGATGAGGTTGGATTCAAGTTTAGGGTGAAAAATATCAAACTTAACACAATCGAGGTAATAATATAATTTTCTGTCAATTATATAAGAATAATGACAATAATATATCTCTCTACATTATCAATTAAATTCATATTTTACTTAATGAAAATGAATATATATATATATTGTATTGAGTCGAGTTTTGGATTAGATAATTTGACACTCGGTTTAGGTGGATCAAAAACCTACTCGGACCCATCTCTAATCTTACCCAGCTATACATTTCATTTATCCATGTTAGGTTTTTGATAATATGGTATAATATAATAATAATTTTAATCCTTAAAACTTACATAATTTGACACTCGGTTTGGTCATAATTCAAAGTAATTAAATAAATCTTTAATGTTGAATTTTGATTATATTTTAAGTTGAATTAAATTAAATTTTTAGATATTGAGAAATTCCCCTAATGTTATTTTTCTTCCACTCATACGTAGAGACAAACGCATAAATTTATATCAAATGTACAAACTTAAAAAATTATATTAAAAATTTTAAAAGGGTACGAAATTAGATAATAAATAAAAAAAACAAAGAACAAACCTAAAATATAAGAGAATTTAAATTTTTAGGGATGCAACTACACCCCACCACCCCTCGATCCATCCCTACTTATAAGATTCAAATATGAAATTTTATATAAAATACATTAAATTTTTTATCACTCAGTTTTATTATTATAATAATAGTATAGTAGGGCAAATGGTGATTTCAATGTTCTTGTTCATGTATGATTAAAAGCAACAAAATCTAGCTTGCTGGTGGGTAAGCAGTCACCATTTCCAAACACTATTTACCCACTTTTTTATTTTATTATTTAATTGTTTATTTGGGTTTTGGGTTTCGAAATGGGGGCAGGCAGTTGGGTAGGTAGGAAATCTCTAGGTTAAACCTCCAACAAAATCTCAATATTTGGATTAGTGTGGTTTAGAAGAAACGTTTCATGTTGTAGATTTCAAGAGATTTCATGCCATGTGCCAAGCTTGATATCAGCTGCTACTAATCATTGATTACCTTCATTTTTCTATTTTTAATTATACTTTATCATGTAATATTTCAGCATCTATTAATAATAAATGAAACAAAAGGCATCGTTAAAATTATAGTTGTGACGATTATTTATAATTCATTTTTGTTTTGGACGAAGAATCATTGTTGATAGTTTCAAAAAAGATATAGAAGGAGTGCATGAAAAAGATGCAAGTTCAAGTTCTCCAGTCATACATAGTTACTTATATATTGAACTTTTGTGTTAATTTTAGCTTAGAACATGGTTATCCATAGATTGATAAAACAAATAGATATGACCGTCAAATAACAAATTTTATTATTACAGATCATATGAGCTTATTAGTGATATTGTACCGTCCGAAAGATATTAAATTTGAGAGATTTCTTACAACTCTAAAAAAGACGTCAGGTAAAGAATAAGTAGCTGAGATGCAATTCACGAGAAAGGTACTACATGTATCTAAAGATGAATGTAGAGTTGAATGACAACAAGCTCCACATTTTTTGAACTAAGATTGATCAAATTAAAGTAGAAGCTAAATTCATAACTTATGGATAGCACAGTGACTAATAACAAAATTTGACCTAAATACATGCACTAGGACTATAAATGAGACGAGCCGATTTGCGAGCTACTCGAGATCGACCCGATCAAAGCTCAGCAATACTCGAGTTCGACTGAGCTCGTTTACAGCCCTAACATGCACACAGTAGTGAAGATTTCAACGAAGCAATTTATCCATTTTGTTATGTTGTTTAAGAAATTTTCAATCGCCAAATCACAAAAGCTACCACATTGACACCAAAAATTTCCATCAAGACATGTTCAAGTATGAGAAAACAATAAAAGTATTTCATTGTAGAAGACAATAAAACAAAATTTTGTAACTTGAACAATTCCCATCCTTCAATTCACTGATATTTGCCTCCAGAAGATGCCACAAATACTGGAATATGGAATCATTTACCGGATTTAGCTTCAATTCCGATACTAAAAAGGTGAGAATATTTGTTCATTAATCTGTCCGGTGTGAGGCATGCCTATGAGTTCCGAGGCATGCGCAAAATTAAACAAACATTCACAATGTTATACCGTGAGATTTCGAATAAGCGGGGTAAGGCAGGAGTTACTTAGATTACTTATTTTTCCCAGGTTTGGACCTTTTTGCACTTGCGGATTCTTTCTCGGACCTCTTTTTCCTGGGTTTGTACTTTTCCGTACTCATGGATTCTTTCTCGGACTTCTTTTTCCCGGGTTTGGACTTTTTTGTCTTCATCGGTTCTTCCTCGGTGAGACTGTCCTCATTTAGCAAATGCTCATAGTCTTCAAGACTAGCAAAGGGAGAAGCTGAAGTCTTTTTACCAGACTTCCGTTTCCTTTTTCTTTGATGAAACTCACCCTCATCATCACTAAGATCATCTGTGTCTCCAAGAGCGATGAGATCATCACCACCATCATCGATCTGCTCACTTCCGGCATCAGCATCGAAATCCTTTCCATCAGCATAGTCCGAGGGTAGATCCATCTCTGCATCACTGTCATCGCCTATCAACTGATCATCTTCATCAGCAACACGGTCTAGATCATCATAGTCATAGTCCCCATCTGAATCTACAGAAGGATTGGTTGCGTCCAACAAATTTTCGATCTCTTCATTGTCACTTTCATCATCACCATCCACATAATCATCATCCATTTCATTGCCACCAACATCAAAATTCTTCAGCAGCTTCTTCCCCTGCAGCTTTCTTCTTCTTCTTCTTTGGTTTTTTTGAGGAATGCATTTTGTTCAAATAAAATTTGTGGAAGACGAGATCTTCTGGAGGAACATCTGTTTCCTCTAACGACAGAATCTCTTGCCCAATCAAATGGTTGTTCATATCAAGCTAAGAAAACAGAAAAATAAGCAAAATTTTGAAGTTATCGGCATGGCAGCAAGTACTGAAACTTCAAAGCAAAAGGACTTTGAATCAGAAGATAACTAACCTTTTTGGCAGGCTCGATTTGGGATCCACCATGCCATGAGCTTGTTTTTGGTTTCTTTTCCATGAACTTGTATAGAAAGGCGGTAAGTGACAGGTCATTCAATGGGTTGCCATTGTAAATAATATTGACCCCGGACAGAAGAGTTGAAGCCATGGTGGCAACTGAAGGGTGAGCATGTGTCGAAAGTACCATCAGTTCCCACCAGCTTGCACGATCAGCATTGCTGTTGAGATATGCATACAGTCACGGAATAAAATCATTACTGAAAACCCAACAAGATAAAGAACAAGATCAAAGATAAAATTCTGGTTCAGTTGGATATGAATGAGTATTAATACGAAAAAAACTCATAGACAGTGTAATTTTTTTGCAGTTCCTCTCTTCATCGACTCAGAAAAAGTCTAGCTTTCTTAATAATCAGAATGATAATGATGCCGATTATGTAAAGACAACATAGTCATGCTTCCTCAGATATACGCTGAAAGATACCTATAAGAAGGTTCCCTGTGCCTGGGATCATATCCCCCAGGCAAGAAAGACTTGGTAGTGGGTTTTGGAGGTTTTGATGAGTTTTGATCGGATTTTGTCTTGAGTTCCTGTACATGGAGATCCTTCGGAGTCTCTTTAATAATCAACTCATCTGCATCTTCCGAAACATCGTCATCAGAATAAGATGGCAAAACACCTTCATCATCTGAAGAACCACTATTGGCAGCTTCACCAACATGGATATCAATGTTATTTTCTTCCTTCTTTGATGCCAAGCTAGGTTTGGTAACAGTTTCCTCTACAATATCTTCAAAATGTTCAAGATCTTCATCAACTGACTCATTCTGGAGCATGGAATTCCTGAACAAGTAAAGAAGCTTTCTGGTCAGAAGAGAAAAAACTTCTACGCGAAACAAAATTCGGTGCATGACACATCTAAATGAAACTGGTGTAATTTACCATAATTGTGGCCTTGCTTTGAGGACTTCTGATATAAGGAAAAGGCAGCCACAGGCATACTGGGGAGGTTGTTGAAGTGCAACCTGTCAGATGTTTGAATTGTTAAATGTTAAAGATAGTACAGAAACCAAAAACTAAAGAAATCAAACAGCACCGGCTCATTTGTAGATCCAACAGATATTCAAATTGTTAAAGTTTGTAGATATACACCTACTTAGAGTTAAAGAGAATGCAGTGCAATGCTTACCTGCAATATACGTTTTGAAAAGGCAGACACGCGTTTCAAATTGACGTCGCTTTTCATGGCTCTCAAAAGAAGTCCGATAAACATTTCCGCCTGAAAAGACATGCCAATGTGAATTTAGGGGATTTTTTTTTAATAAAGAGAATCCACAAAACATCTGTATGCTAATATACTACACTAAGCAAATTGTGATGATTTCAGAAGGAGCAATAATCAGAAACAAACTTTGCAATCATGTTCAACACAATTACAATTTAAAAGAGCCTATAACTCTGTTGAATGGTCTATCTTGATAAGAATAATGAAAGAAATGGGGTTTGGCAAGCAGTGGCGTTCGTGGATCTTAAGATGTGTTTTTTTTTTTTTTTTGATAGGAAAAGTAGGTCTCATAAAAACCTCCTTCTAAGTAGCCCTTACCATGAGGTCAGAACCTACTAGGGGAAGGAGGAATAGAGAACCTTAATATATTGATAATGTAAAAATTACATAAAACTAGAACCACTCCTTTAAGATACATAAAACTTAAGCACACTCTTATAACGCCTTGATTAAAAACCTCCGAACTCAGTACTAAAAAAATGACCCACTACCCAATCCCCTCCTTTGCAAGCAAATCTGCCTCGCAATTACAGCTTCTCGGAATCCACCTCACAATGACCTCATACTCAGAAACCGCATCCGCAATATCCTTGACAAAATTTAAAAGAAAAGGAGGAGCTGACTCCTGATATTTCAACCACTCCACAGCTAGCTTGCAATCAGATTCAATAATAAGCCTTCCCTTCAATACCCATTCTGATGACACAAAGATGTCTATTCCTCTTTTGATAGCTTTTAACTCTGCTAAATAATAGGAGTAGGCCCTATTTTTTCTGAAAACGACATCAATTTAATCCGATTCCAATCTCTAAGAATGCCCCCAATTCCTGCTAACAACCCAACCCTACTAACTGCTCCATCCACGTTAAACTTAAAAAAATCGACTGGAGGAGGACTCCAGTAAACCACAGGCCTGTTCGAATCAAAAGAAGCTGAAATATTATCAGCCAATGAAGGATCACCAATTAGAGAGTCCACTTGAATAGAGGATATATGATACTTAGCCAGGAACCATTTCGCAAGCCTTAACCTGACTGTGAAAAACAATGAGGATGTGTCCAACTTGCCTCTTTCAAAAACAATTTCGTTTCTCATCTTCCAAATCGACCATAAAACAGCCCCCGGAATAAACTTCCACATATTAGAAAATGGCCTAAGAACAGACCATGAAATTAGAATTGATGAAGGATCATTAGGTAAGGCTAACTTGATACCCCAGTAGGCTATGATTCTGTTCCATAGTACCCAGGAAAACTGGCAGTAAATAAACAGATGCTGAACTGATTCCTCTGCTTGATTGCAAAAGGGGCATAGAGAGTCCTCCCCTAAGTGAACCCCCCTTTTCTTCAATTCCCCTCTAACCGCTACTTTATTAAGTGATAGTTGCCAAAGGAAAACCTCTACTCTAGGAGGAACCAGACCTTGCCAAACACATTTGTTCCACCTAAAGTTATCCTCATCCACTGAGTAGAAAGATTTCGTGCAAGCTTTAACGGAATACAAACCCTCGCCCGCACCAACCCAAAGCATGCAATCCTCCAAAGATTCATTTAATTTGATAACATTGAGCTTGTCCAATAGATCAACCAGCTGAGCCACTTCCCAATCGCATAGATTCCTCCTAGTCTTAATATTCCACTCCCAACCATTCAAATCAAAACTACCAAATTCAGCAACCTTACCCCCTTGATTTGTTGACAGAGCAAAAATCCTAGGAAAAAGAACTTTCAATGGAAAATCCCCCAACCATGTATCATTCCAAAAGAAAATCGAATTGCCATTCCCAACTTGTAACCTCGCATGAGATCTAATGCATCCTCCAAAGAAATCATCCTTCATGTAGCTATTCACAATACCTCTCCAAATCCAAGAGTCCTTATGGGAGGAGACTTTATTGACATCCATAGAAAGACAACTAACACTATGTTTAGAACATAAGAACTTTTTCCACAAAGATTCTTTTTCGTTGGCAAACTTCCACACCCACTTTCCCAATAGTGCTCTATTAATAAGCTTCAAATCAACAACTCCTAGACCACCTCCACACTTCGGTTTACAAATTTATTCCAACTCACCCAATGCATTTTCTTCTTTTCTTCTCCTCCACCCCATAAAAAATTCGCCATCAAAGAGTTTAATTTTTGACAGATTTTAGCTGGAATCTTGAAAATAGCGAGATAAAAGATAGGTAAAGAGGATAAAACCGACTTAATAAGCACCAATCTACCGGCCATAGACAAAGAAGAAGCTTTCCATCCCGCCAATTTCTTATCAAAGTTAGCTAGGACTGGCTCCCACAGTTTATCACAGTTTCTTTTAGCCCCTAGCGGAAGGCCTAAATAGACTGTCGGAAATGAACCAATAGAGCAGCCAATGTCCCTAGCCCAATTTCTCAGTGTGTCCTCCTCCACATTAATACCATACAATTTACTCTTAACTAAATTAAGATGAAGCCCCGTCATAAAACTAAAAATCATCAACACTCGTCTAACGTTTTTAATTTGAGTGATGGAGGCTCGACAAAAATAATTAGGTCATCCGCAAACTGAAGATGGGTCAAATTGAAACTGTTTTGCACATTTCCAAAAGAAAACCCTTGAAATAATCCTAATTCCACAGCTTTATTTAACATCATATGAAGGAGTTCACCAACCACATTAAACAAAAGAGGAGAAAGACTACATCCTTGTCGCAAACCTTTAGCAATATGAAACTCTTTTGTAGGAGACCCATTCAGTAGAATAGATATAGAAGCTGTAGAAATACACTGATTTATCCAAGAACACCACCTTTCTCCGAAGCCCATCTCCTTCATAAGCCTTAACAGAATCTGCCAATCCACGGTGTCATAAGCTCTGCTAAAATCCACTTTGAAAACAACCCCCTACAGCCCTTGTTTCCTCCAATAATCTATGCCTTCATTTGCTAAACAGGCACAATCCAACAATTGCCTCCCCGGAATAAACGCGAACTGTGTAGGGCTAACAATATCTTTAACACAAGAAGAAAGTCTTTTCGAAAGAACCTTAGAGAGAATCTTATACAAGCTGCCCACTAGACTAATAGGTCTATAATCTTCAATACTCTCAGGATTACCTTTCTTTGGAATCAAGGTAATAAAAGCATGATTCACTCCATGAACCCACCGCTTTCCATTGTAGAAATCTGAAAAAAAAACTCCATAATCTTCACCTTCAACAAATTCCAATACTTCTTGTAAAAACCCATTGTGAAACCATCCGGCCCTGGTGCTTTTGCACTATCCGAAGATGAAATTGCTTGCCACACTTCTTGCTCTGTAAACACCTCTTCTAGAGAATCACTTTGAACTTGAGACAACTGTTTAAAATCAAAATTCAAGCCCTCAACTTCCAGTGTAGTTTTTTCATTATATGCATTCTTGAAAAACTTAAACACACTGTCTTTTATCTTTTCTGGATCCGAAATAACTTTGCCTTTAAAATTGATCGAATGAATAGTGTTGAATCTATTCCTTTTCAATGCACTAAGATGAAAAAACCTTGTATTCCTGTCGCCAACTTTAATCCATCTGTTTCTAGATTTTTGAAACCAAATTCTCTCCTCAATCCTTAACAGTCTCCATAATTCCTTTTTAGACTCAATCAATTGTGCCCAATCCCCTGCAGACTGCTTTCCACCTTGACACTTTAAATCCAGACTGTTAATTTTAATTTCCAGCAACGAAATTGACTCTGACAGCCCTAAATGTCCAATCCAGACCAGTTTCTGATTTCATTTTTTGCACCCTGCAGGATTCTGAAAATTCCTCCACTATTGTTCTTCTTCTCTTCTACTTCCAGTGAGTCTGCAACTAAATCATCAAAACCTTGTTCTTCTAATAGAAAATTAAAGAACCTAAAAGGTTTTGGACCCCAATTTGTAGATTTATCCTCCAGCAAGACTGGATTATGGTCTGAAATAGATTTCGGTAAAATCGACTGCACAATGTTAGGGAAAATCTTAAGGAATCTTGCGCAAATAAGGAACCTATCCAATTTCACCCATGTTGAAGATTCTCTATTACTGCACCAAGTGAAAGAACCTCCTGACATAGGCAAGTTAATGAGATTGGCTTTTTGTACGAATGACCTGAAAATATCCATAGTATGCCAATTTTGTGATTTGCCTATCTTTTCTTCTGAATCAAGATACGCGTTGAAGTCTCCCCCTAAACACACTGGTAAATTTAGAGCTCTAACATACTTCAGCAACTCCCCATAAAAAACCTCCTTCTCAGCTTCGACTGGAGGCCCATAAACATTAATAGCTACAAACTCCATAGAACCATGCTTAGATTTTCCTACTAACGCCAGAAACCTACCATGCACAAACTGATCAATGACTTGAACCACGTTCTCATTCCACAATGTAATCAATCCCCCCGATGACCCTTGTGCTGGAGAAACCAACACCCCCTTTAACAAGTTACCTCCAATCCTTCTAAAAATCGCCCCATGGCATCTTTCCAACTTAGATTCTTGAATGAAAAGAAAAACTGGTTTCGTCTTCTTGACTAACCTTGCTGCAGCTACACACTTCTCCCTCCTCCCAAGACCCCTAATGTTCCACGAAATAATACTAAAATTATTCATAAAAAGAATTACTCCCCCTACACTCAGCTAAAACTGAGCAGCCTTCATCCACCCCTAACTGCATCTGTCTCTTGACCAAGACATAATAATTTATCAATAAAAGCCTCATTCCCTTCCTTAAATGAAATACCTAACATCTCACACACTTCCCAAGTATCCACTGCTTCCTTCAGTAATTCCACAAAAGAGGAAGAAGAAGCAGTCGAAATATTAACCAAGTCAATAGCTTCAGAAATTAAGGCTCTCCTCTTCCTTCTCTTCCTTCTTTTCATTCCTTTCCCTGAAGCATTCACAGAAATAGCTTCCACCCTTTCAACACCATCATTACAAATGGTAGGGACCGTAGATGTATTCTGAAAATCGGCAGAACCATTGAAGTCCTTATCTTGTCCCTTTCCAATACTATTCGTAGGAAACTGCTTTATACTTCTTGGAACAGAATTGTTCTGCTTAAGCTTCGGAGAAGCCATGGGACAGAAGACATCATCTTCAATAGCTGGACACAACCATATTCTTCTATCTCTTGACCTTTTATAAACTCGGGCATAACGTCCTCTTCCCCTTCTGCCAACAGGAGCACTCCTAATTGACAAACCTATCATAATATCTTCATCTTCCATATCCCCATTTTTTTCTTCTTCTATTGATACACTTCTTTCTTCTGCAAAAAATTCAGACAGATTCTGCTCCTTATTCTTGTTTGCTAGCCTAGCCCAATTCAACTTCACAGCAGGGCCAGCTGGAATAATTTTAGTAACAGGAGAATAAGCCTCCCAATTAGACTCCGAATGGGCTGAACTCTGGGCTGCAACCTCTCTCAGCCCAAGGCCTGCAAACTCCCCCCTGGTATTTAATTCAAATTCAAACTTGTCTGACACCCCATTACTATTGGGCAGAGTGTCTGACTTATTTTCCAAATCCTGATCTCCACCTTCTTCTAACGTCCTCCTTTCTTGACTTTTCTGAAGCCACGTGTCAACTTTTGACCAGAAACCTTCCGCAGAGTTCTCCCTGTTGTCTCCTACCTTATCTTTGTTTCTACCATCTTCCTCCTTTGACACTTCGTCATTGCAGTTGCCAAATGACACAGTCTGCCTCACGTCTCCATAAGCTTCAGAGAAAGCATTAGATCTGGATCCCACATTAACTTTAACTTTAAACGATCTGCCATAAGATCCTACAATAACAGATTCTTGTACATCGAACGGACTTGCCACCCTTAGCAGCATTCTAGCCGAAGAGAGGTCATCTCTGTTTCTTGTTCCCTCCGGGATACAAACAACCTTTCCCCACTTTCCTCCAAGCTTCTCTAGAAAAGGAATACTCCAACTAAGAAGCGGTAACCCAACCAACTCGACCAAGCAATAAGCCAAAGGGACTCCCTCTTCACTCAACAATGGATCTACCCAATCAAACCAGCAGTAAAGTTTCTCTCTAAGACTCGACCACGCCTTCAGGAACTCTTCATTTGTATTGAAGATAATAATGCATGCGTTCCTAACATATCCCACTTTACTATCTTGACCTGGAACCCCTCTTTTGCCAAAGCTCGCACCACCATAACAGGCTGAAATGTATCTTTAAAAATCCCTGTTAAGGAATTTTTCACCCAGCAAAAATCTTCTGATGGGATGTGCATATCCCAGACATTTCTTACTCCTTTTGCTTTCTTCTGACCTTCCCTGTTCACCCTTCTTTGTTGATCCACACTCCTACTGTTATCCACATTCACAACCTCCTTATACGTTCTGCCATCTCTCAAACTTCTCGGTGACTCCAAGTCAACCTGCTGTCTGCCATTAGCTTCTCTACATGGCTTAATTCCTTCCAGCTGAGATCTTTTAACCTCTGCATCTCTCTTCCGGCCCCTCTTATACTTAGCCACCCCCACAGTGACTCTCTTCCCATCAATCAACGTTCCATTTACATTCATAACTGCTCTTCTGCAACCTTCCTCCACCGCATATTGCACAAAAGCAAACGTTGATGACTTATAATTCGTTTTAACCATAAAACTTGGGATAAAGACCCTCACTATTCTACCATAATGGTTGAAAATCTCTCTTAACTCACTTCTGGTAACTCTCTTACTAAGATTTCCAACAAAAACAGTCCATTCCTCACCGGAGAATGAACGACCAAACGCACCCGCTCTCTTTCTCTCTCTACTTCTCTCACTCATGGGGAAATGTTTCCTCCCTCTTCTAGTTTGTGATATTAACTACATCTTAAGATGTGTTTCATCGGCCACAATTTCTGTCTTTGTTAACAGAACTCCAACTGAGGGTTTCAGGATGGCTAGAGGACTTCGACAAGGGTATTCTCTTTCACCGTGCTGTTTAATATTGTTGGAGAGTTAATCTAATGCTGTCCAAGGCTGTCAATCTGGGATTATTCAATGGATTTTCAATCAGTAGATCTGAAAATACTTTCATGAACTCACACCTTCAATTTGCAGATGACTTAATCATCTTTTGCAACGCTTCAATTGGTCAGATTAAGAACGTCAAGAGAATTTTACGTATTTTTGAGTTAATGTCGGGGCTTCAACTGAACTGTTCTAAAAGTAGGTTATTTGGGTTAAATATTGAAGAAGAAGTGCTGAGTAACTAGGCTGCTACAATTAATTGTTCGGTGGGTGCCTTTCCTGCTGAGAACCTCAGTTTACCTCTTGGAGCTAAGAGGAATTCTGCATCTTTGTGGGATCCTACGGTCCGGAAAAAGCAGCATCCTTATCCATGGCGGGCATATTGGTGTTATTGAAATCGGTTCTATCAGCCTTGCCGATTTATTATCTTTCAATCTTTAGGATTCCTATGTCGGTGTACAGAAACTTAATTCCACAATGGCAAGGTTCATTTTTTTTTTGTTGGGAGGGGGTGTAGAGAAAAATCGTATTCATTAGATCAAATGGTCCTTAATTTGTCAATCGAAAAGGAACAGTGTGCTGGGAGTTACCGATCTTAATTTGCTGAGCCAAGCTTTAATGGGAAAGTTGATGTGGAAGTTTGACATGGAAAGGGAGTCATGGTGGGAAAAGGTTGTTTGCAGCAAGTATAATCTAGATACTAATTCTCTGGTTGTGGTAATATCCAGTCTGCACAAACCTCCTGGATGTGGAAGGGGGTTATCAACAATTGTGTGAAGAATGATAATTTTGGGGAGTGTTTCCGTAACCACCTGCAAATCCGAGTTGGAAATGGGAAGTCTGTTTCCTTTTGGAATGACATATGGCTGTGCGAAACTCCTATTAAAAGGAAAATTCCTAGGCTGTTCGTTCTCTCAATTAACAAAGAAGGTAAGATTGCTGAGTTTGGCAGTTATGGGTCGGCGAGATGGTCATGGGATGTCCTGATGAGAAGGAATCTATGTGATTAGGAACTTGTACAATGGGTTGAATTAATGTTTATGCTCAACAATGTTAAACTCAATGCAGCAGAGACTGATGGTTTAATCTGGAAGGGGAATGGGAATGGTTGTTATTCGGTAAAATCATGTAGAGGATTATTGTCACAATTGGAGGGAGAAAATAATACCTGGACAAAATTGTGTATGGATGGGGTTGGTTTCAGCAAGGATTGAAACCTTCTTACGGCAAGTGGCCCATCAGAAGTTAGCAGTTAGGATGGAATTAATTAAACGGGGTTTCCCGCGGGTGGTTGAGCCTATTTGTCCAATGTGCAATGATGATCCAAAAACTGTGGCGCACCTTTTTCTACACTGCAGGTTTGCTTGGACACTGTGGAATCAGTTCCCTTTCTTCCTAGTTCCCTGCTACAGGGCTGGGCTGATCTTGTGCCTTTTTCTTCAATTTGGAGGTTTATCTCAGGGGTTGTGTTATGGACAATATGGAAGTCTAGGAATTCTGATGTTTTCGAGGGAAAGAAGCTTGACTCTTTTCAATTGTTCTTCGTTGCCAGATTCAGGCTGGCTTCGAGGTTCTCGGCTAAGCACCCAAACATGAGGATGCCTCTGGATTCTCTTATTGGTAATCCATCATTAGTACATCTGTGTGATAGCCTCATTAGGAGAAAGCCAGATCCTACTGGTTGGTCTCCTCCTCCTGAAGGATATTTTAAACTAAGTGTAGATGGTGCGGTGAGCAATGATTGGAAAGCGGGTGGCATTGGAGGTTTACTGAGGGATACGTGCAGCAGGAAGTTAGGGTCCTTCTCGCTGACTTGTGGTCCAGTTCCTCCTGCTTTGGCTGAATTAAAGGCAATCAGAAAGGGTCTACTGTTTTTCTGCTCGTCAGTTTGGGGGTCTAAGGGCCGTTTAATCTTGGAAAGTGACTGCAGGAACATGATTGAGTGGATTAAGAATTCTGATTCATGTCCATCCCGTTTTGAATCTATTCTTCAGGAAATTGACTTATGTTACTTCTAAAGAGGAGCTGGTTCGCCTTATTCAGAGAAGTGCTAATTGGGAGGCGGATGAATTAGCTAAAAAGGGGATTGGGTGATGTAGGGATCCTTAAAGCTTGTTAAGATTGTTGTATCTTGTTTTGGTTGTATTGCTTGGCTGTTCTTGGTTGAACTAAACTGGGTTCTCTTATATTTTTTTTATTTAATAAAACTTGAGGTACTCTTTTCCTCTTGCTGTTTGCCGGTTTATCGTTTGGTTAATTGGCAATTATGAGGGAGGTTTTTAACGAGACTTCCAACTCTTATCAAAAAATAAAAAATAAAAAAAATAAATGCCAGAAGCATTAGATCAGAAACATATTGCATTGAAACAAAAAAATTAACCAAATTCAGCTTCACTTGCCTTAGACGAATTCATAGCAGCAGGAAGTAAGAGTTTTGAGTACAAGGCACGGTAAAATCGGTCACTGACAACCTGATTCTTCGAAGATATCTTATCAAGAAGCATTAGTGCTTGGACTCCTACATTAAAGTTCTTGGAATGAACCTGCAAATTCTCCATGTTAACATCCAAGATTACGTAAACTTTCCACATGGTCTAGCTGTCTAATAATAAAAAAAATGTCATTCTGACTACCAGTTGGAAGAGAATTGGCGTTTCTATATCAACTATGTCATCAGCTTCGTTGCTTGAAACATAAGGAAATGCTCGATTAACTCCCTGTAGCTGTGCAAAAGGGGAAATCATGGAAGTTGGAAACAGTTGCAAATCTTTTTCAAATTATGTAGAGTAACTTTTCACACAGACAATACTTACCATAAGGAGAGCAGACAGAAGCCTTGAATCCAATTCAACATGTGATTCTCCACTACCTTTTCTCTTGTTCTCCTTTGACCTATGAGAATTTTTTACTGCTTTGTTTTCTTTTTCTGGTTGCTGACTTTTTCCTGCCTCAGAAATCAGTACCTGAAATTGCAAAATATAAAATCTCTTCTTTCCCCAAACTCACTAATCAGACTACAACTACACACATTTAAAGAAAAATATTTATACTATATTTTTTTGATAGGAATAGGAAGCCTCGTTAAAAACCTCCCTCATAGTTGACCCTTTCCTAATAGAAAGGATCAAGTAGTGGAGGGAGGAAAAGAGTGCCTCATTTTATTACCAAACCAGATTACATAAGACTTAACAATACAGCAGATGCTTTTACATAAGACTTAACCACTTCTGCTACTTCAAGAACCTACAGCTATAGGAAAATGAACTATAACTAAAAAAATACAATCAACCGATCCCCTGCTTTGCTAAACTATCTGCCTCCCCATTACAAGACCTTGGAATTAACCTAATTAAAACCACCTTTCCCGAAAGGATCAACAGAATTTCTCTAACCAGAGGCAACATGAAAACTGGTGCCAAAGACGGGGTGTGAATCCACTCCACTGCCGACTTACAATCACTCTCAACAACCAATCTACTAGCAGCAGACCATCTTGAAGCTAAAAAAATTTCGATGCCTCTTTTAATAGCCTTTAACTCTGCAACTGGTGGGGGACCTTGACCAATATTCTCAGAAAAAGTCAGTAGAGTGCAGCAATTCCAGTCCCTTAAAATGCCTCCAATACCTCCAATCGAGTCTTTTAACCTAACAGCTCCATCAACATTCATCTTTAAGAAATCAACAGGTGGAGGAAGCCAGCTAATGACATCATAATCTTTAGGTTTAGGAACAGAAATACCATCAGCTAGTGATGGATCCCCAATTAGCAGATCTTCCTGGATAGGGAATTTAGGATACTTGGCTAGGAACCATTTAGATAACCTAAATCTCACAAGGAAAAAGAGAGACAGCTATCAAGGTTTAAACCTTCAAACACAATCGCATTCCTAGCTTTCCAAATAGACCAAAAAACGACTCCCGGGATAAACTTCCAAATCAATGAATTCAACCTCAAACTCCCCCACGAATTAAATAAGGAAGGAGGGTCCTGTGGTAGCACAATAGACAAGTCCCAGAAGCTTGCTAGTTTATTCCATAGTTCCCAAACTACAAAACACGAAATGAATAAGTGTTGCACAGTTTCCTCATGTTCCTTGCAAAAAGGACAGAGTACATCTTCTTCTAAGGACATTCCTCTTTTAACTAACTCCATTTTAACTGCAACCTTCTGATGAGCTAACTGCCATAGGAAGGCTTCTACGCGAGGCGGAGACAAACCCAACCACACCCCTTTTGACCACAACTCAATACCCCCAACTTCCTTACCAAGAGCTTTCCTGCACGATTTCACTGAGAATAACCCATCACCACTTGCTACCCTTGGCCCGTTTCCTCTGTGTGACAAACGAATTTGGCTCAAAAAATTGACCTGTACATGGAAAAGGGCATATTAGTGAGTTCCCAGATAAAACAAACCAAAAAAATGAATTGCATCATAACTTTGACTAATGGAGTTAAAAAGAGTAACTGGCAGAACTTAAAATTAAGACCTTCCACAATAAACAGTCAATTGATAATTCTTAAGAATGCAACCAGCTCAGACACTGTTATATCGGTAAAACAAAACAAGTCATCAAATATAGCGATGAAGTTCTAACAATCACAGCAATTCCAAATATATTGACAGCAATAGAACTACCATATTAAGTCAAAGCAAATTATTCACGGTAAGAAATATCCTTAATAATTGCTAATAAATACAAAATACTTGCTTATTCTTTTACTTTCTGAAGACCCTATTATGGTTACAAAGGAGAGATGAAATGTTCTACCTCAATGACTTGAAGCAACATGCAAACCTCATTCGCTAATTAGCAAACTTTCACGATTCACTACAGTGATAAGGTAGAAAAGATTGTACAGTACAATATCTATAATATCATAGTAATACAAGAACTGGAAGGACATACAGCATGGTACTTGGCACGTAGTCTTAAATGAGGCCGAAAAAGGAAAGTATCCACTTCATCAATAACCACAGCCTGCAACAGGAAACTCTTAGCAAAAACATAATGCTATATGCAACATTAACATGTGCAAAAATATCTGAATTTTTCTCAATGATGATTCCTCTGCATTCATTTCAATAGTCCTGAATTTTTGTCCTTCAATTATGAATACTATCACCTTCTCTAGCCAGGAAGGTAATTGATTTTATATGCCATAATATATGAAATATGTCCCAAATCAAAGCAAAGGTCTCACCTATAACTTGGTATGCATAATGCAACATCTAAATAAAGCACAAATGCTTTAAAAACACAAAGCTACCAGTGATTATACCTTCATATTAGGGTGATCTGATAGAAGGTTTGATAAATAAAAGTCTGCATTTGATGCACCCTTACTTTGAGGATCTCCAAGCTGTATATAACCAGAATATGATGAAACAAAATTATTACCTCTTAAAAAGCTGTTACAGTGAATAGGCTTCAATAGATGGAAAAAACTAGTGTTCAAGTAATTTAATACCAACTTACTTTGTTAATTAGAGAAGATAGCAGCTTACGTTCTTGCTCCGGTTTTCTCTTTAGCAGTGCATACATGGTCTGCAAAATATAAAGTTAAGACATTTGTAATATAACCTAACGGAAACAAGAACTGAAGAACAATAAACATTTCTGATTACTCATTTTAGGATATGAGATTCCATCCCCCAAAGCAAATCCTTGACCTTGCAAAACACAGATCAAGATACTCTAGATTGACCTATGATCTATTTTCAATTCAACTAAATTCAGCTTAAACTACCATGTAAAATGGGAATTCCAACAAAAACCTTCAACGAAAAGATCAAAAAGCTTTGATAATTGCACAATTTATACAAGGACTCCTTGTAGTCAATCTTCCGCTAAAAGTGAGATATGCTAATGATCACAATTCACAAGTAATGCATAGGTTAGCACTTAGCAGATAAGACTAACCTTTAGTGCCTTATCTTTCAAAGCCAGTAACATATCTCTCGATGCCTCCTCAACTGCATTAACAAAACGCTCATACCTGAAAAAATTGAAGAAAACTCAAGTTGTACTACCTTTGGATTATTTTTTTCAAATCATTTCAGTACGGCAATAGATTTATTCAGGTTTGTTACAGTCATTGGTACAACTTTTGAGTTTGAAAATTAAAATAGATTAGTTTTGAGCTATACTTTGGATGGTTTGGTTTGGATCATTTTGAATCATAAATCACACACATGCCTAAACTAATTTATTCTGGGCTCCAAGGACCATCCTCATTAAAATTTAACAAAGTGACCAACTTAGGAAGCTTACAAATGCCACACAACTGCCACAAGGGGGAAAAGGTCAAACATACCTCTGCTTCAAGCAGTCCTCCCAATACCAGAAAAGAAGAAGGGAATATCCATCTTTTGTCTCTGGAAGCTCGTTCACAGGACGTTGTAAGAGTGTTTTCAGCTTTCGATCAGGCAATAACCTGTAAAATTTGAAATGCGCAACAATTGACACAAACTATCAAACTATGTCAATATACACTTCACACCTTAGATTTTGGGAAAACTCCGGACCAACTAAATCTAGATATCTTCTAGAAGTGCATAGCAGGGATTCGTGTCTTTAATGTCATAATCTTTAACGCCCACTAGAGGACAGCTACTATAGATGGGAGGTTACCAATCTTGGGCACATAAAGCTCTTATACCTCCTACCTTAGCCACTATTTAACGATAACTTTCGTTCTATCCTAATGTAGCACATGAACTACATGAATGAATGAGATTGAAAAGAAACTCAATAAAAAGAAATACTTTAAAAAGAAAACCAGTGAAAGGGAGGGAGAGCGAGAGTACTCACTTTGAAATAAAAAGTTCTTTTAAAGCTTCGAATCCAGCAAATGCATACCGCTTTCCTACTTTTGATGTTACTAACCCTGCAATTTGAACAATAGCAGTTCAGCAACTAGGAGGAAATATCCAGGGACAATTTAATAAAATGCATATAATAATATTTGAGTAAATCAACATATTTTGACATTTGTACATTATTCAAATAAACTCATGAAAATATTTTCGAACAAACAACATTCAACATGTAAAACTAACCCATTGCCACATATCAAATTCAAGCATACTATTTAAAAAAATTAACAGCAAGAAAAAAACATAACTGTTCCCCTATTTTGCAAGTGAACGCAACTAAAAGAACATCAAATGAGCATAAATTCAGTAATGGATGATGGGTCAAACACACCGCAACCATAGATGAAATTTATTAAAACCATAAGCTCAACAATCATAACTTTCCCAACTCCTTAAAACTTAACAACATCGAAAACATGGAAAATCATACCCAAAAGCCCATCAAGCGACTTCAAATTAGCAACAGGATTATCCGCAACCAAGAATGAAAAGGCAGAAACTTTATCAGCAGCAGTCCCTGACCTCTGACTAGCCAAAACCATTTTCATATCCCATACATTCCTTTCGATGATTCATAATCTTTAGCGTACTGCCACATCAATCTTCCCCCAAGTTCCCTCTTCTTCTCGACTAACCTCTTCAGCTCCTCCACGTTCTAACATCTACAGCCTTTTTCCCTTTCCCCTCCTCTCCAAACACTTTCTTTTCCAACTCCGATTCATCCTCGTACCACGCACTCAAAGCACTCGCTTTCACCAAAGGCAAAGCTGGCAAATTCTTGAACTTATCAGGCTCTCTAGAGAACCTATTACTCTGGTTTCCGTCTTCAAGAGACAGAACTGGAGGATTGGGCTTTGGTCTTTGGTTGTTTTTCGTGTTTTTATCAGTTTTTAGGGTTTGGGTATCGGTAGGTTTCTTCTAAAGTTGAGAGCTCGGGTTTTTTGGAGGCTTTGGAGGTTTAAGGGGACCATCTTTTCGAAAATCAACATCGTTGAAGCCTGAATAAGGAAGGGAAGAATTGGCGGTGAAGCCAAGAGAGGAAGCAAATGATGCTATATCGGATTTCAGGAGCTCAACGTCTTATGGGGCATTTGAGTTCGACATTTTTGCTTTTGCATTAGGCTTCAAAGAGCAATATGGATGGAATTTAGCCGTTTAGGGTTTAAAATCAACAAGATCAATTATGCCTTGTGCTTGTGGGCAAGATTTTGGGTCTAATTATTCTTTTAGTCCCGCTACTAAACGACTTAACAAAAAATTTAATGTGCTTGATTTATTTTCACAGTTAAATCGACCCAATTATTGATTTTGAAAATCACAATCAAATAAATCCTTTAAAATAAATTTTTAATAGAAAATCTTTCTAAATAATAAATAAAATCTAAGTTAAATTTTTATTTCTAGTTCAATATTCAAGTTAGAGGTGTGAGTAATGAGAAGTGAAGGTTTGGGTGGTAGAATAATGATAGTGGTGTGGGTGATTATAAGTCATCAATATTATGTTACTTTGAATTATTATTTTTATTTAATTAAAATAATATTATTCTTATTATTCATATAGTTATATTGATAAATTTTGTCTATGTTAATATATGATTTAAGTGTTAACGATTTGTTGTAGGGTAGTATTTGCCGAGGATTAAAGATGAATATAATCTTTGTAAATTTAATTATTCGAACTCAAAATATTTAAAATAATATTTTTAATGGATTTTATTGTTAAACATAAACAAAACTTAGATATATATATAACGACAGATTTAGAAATATTTTTTAGGGTGGACACATTCATATTAATAACATCAATTTTTCATATGGGGTAGACACGTAAAATTTAAAGTTAAACACACTCGGTAAAATAAATTACTAATATATAAAAAAAATTGATTTTAAGGTGGACACGTCTTGAACAAATCATACATCCGCCACGGTATACATATATATAAATATGTGGACTTCTTTGGGAATTTGACCAAAATTCATATAACTATTCTGCCTTTTATAGGAAATACGAAAGAACAATGAGCCTATAAGTGTCATTTCCTTTAACTAGGGTTTCCGAAAGCCTAGTTTATAAACAACCGAAAACTTGCTTAAGCTCTCTCTCGCCAGTGCCTCCTTGCCTTTTCCCGTTTGCAAACTCTTCTCTGCGGGGAACCCAGAAACAACATGTCTACCACCATGGCCCCAACATCTGCAAGGCAGCTTTCTCCTAAAGAAGCCGACATCCAGATGATGTTGGCCGCCGAGGTCCATCTCGGTACCAAGAACTGTGATTTCCAAATGGAGCGTTACGTTTTCAAGCGTCGCAATGACGGTAAATTTTTGTTTTATTATTGTTATTTTTAAGTATTACTATTGTTATTTCTGTTTTCTATACATTTCATGTTGGGTTCTGGCTGCTGAAATTTAAGCTCAGTTTCTTTTTTTGAATGTGTATTGTGTATTAAGATTTGGGTTGTTGTTTCTCAGTGTTATAAATTTTGGGATTCTTTGATTTATTGGATTAGTAAAGCATGTGCAATTTGTAGACCTGAAATCTGTTCTATGATCTGATTTTAGTGTATATGTATAGTTATTGATATGTTTGCTTAATGCAAATGTTACCAGTTGAATTTGCAATTAGAGAATGATAGTCTATTTGGTTATAAGTTTCTTGCAATTATGTTTTAGTATTTGTTTTATCAATTGAATTGTCTTTCACTTCAACAGGAATCTACATCATTAACCTTGGCAAGACCTGGGAGAAGCTTCAACTTGCTGCTCGCGTAATCGTTGCTATCGAGAATCCTCAGGACATCATTGTCCAATCCGCAAGGCCGTATGGTCAGAGAGCTGTACTGAAATTCGCACAATACACTGGTTGTCATGCAATTGCTGGAAGGCACACTCCTGGTACATTCACTAACCAGATGCAAACATCTTTCAGTGAGCCTCGTCTTCTTATCCTCACAGACCCGAGGACTGACCACCAGGTAAATTGTATGCAACAACTGAATCGATTTGAGCTTTATCATGTACTGAATGATTTTTTATTAATGAACACTTGAGTTTGTTCTCTGCAGCCTATCAAGGAAGCTGCTCTAGGAAACATTCCCACCATTGCCTTTTGTGATACCGACTCACCAATGCGATATGTTGACATTGGTATCCCTGCTAACAACAAGGGAAAGCACAGCATTGGTTGCCTTTTCTGGCTGTTAGCAAGGATGGTTCTTCAGATGCGCAGCACAATTGCTCCTGGACAGAAGTGGGATGTGATGGTAAAAGATACAACACTATCATAACACGTATGACTTGTACATTTTATAGTTCACGAGTTCTGATGCATGATTTGTATGTAGGTGGACCTATTCTTCTACAGGGAGCCTGAGGAAGCTAAAGAGCCAGAAGATGAAGAAGCTGTTGCTGCCCCTGATTATGGACTCCCTGCTGCAGATTTTGGTATGGGTGCTTTAGCAGCTGACCAATGGCCAGCACAAATAGGTGATCAATGGTCTGCTGATATGGTTCAGGCACCTATTTCTGGTGTCCCTGCTGCTGTTAACTGGGGTGACCAAGGTAATAATATATATGCTATATTTCTGTCTATATTATTTAATCCAACATCTTATTGTTTCCTTTGCATAACTTTGAATTTCGAATGCAGTTGCTGTTGGAACCGACGGGTGGGATGCTGCAGCTGCTCCAGCACAAATCCCGGGTGCACCCGTGATGTCACGGCCCCTGCTCCCACAGGTTGGGAATGAGAGGGATTTATGTTAGGTTTTTGACAAAATGTTTGTTTTTAAAACTAGCCATTTTGAACTTTGTTATGATAACTATGGAATTGTGTGTTTTTGGCTCAATTTCTGGAACATTCATGGCTTTAGAATGTTTGTTATTTTAATGCTGGAACCGTAAGTTATGAATTTACATTTATATGCGGCAATGGTTTCTTGGTTGTTTATCTGAAGGTTTAGAACAGTATGCTCTGTGTTGCCCCCAACCTAATAATTAACATGGAAAAGTAGAGTCTGAAATTCAACCATATATTTCCTTCTCTTTCACTACCCTCGGATTCGTCATAATAATGCAATACAATCAACAAAGATGATATCCAACACCGCAAATTATAGAAGCCCCTATTCACGTAGTGTGAATCCAACAGGGTGGCGTTGTCTAATCCTCCACCATCACCTCCCTGTATAAACATCGGTGAACAGATTTTCCAATTCGATTGGGACTTTGAAATTTGGAATTTGGTATTTAGAGATTTAGAGCTTTAATTAGGAGTTTGGGGAAGACATGAGGAGTGAAAGAATCAATGTGACAAACTATTTTGTGAATAATTAAGTGCATTGATAAACTATCACAAAAAGAAATCGACTATACAAGACTGTCATATTTTCTGATCAAGAGATGCATTACGATGAAAAAAACACGAAATGACAAATAATTATAAAGATTGATAAAAGTTGTATCATAAAACCAGACAAATAATTATGTCATAATGACAAATAAAGATAAACGTTTTAAGAGTGCGCTTGGTTTGTGGAATCTTACATTATCAAGGGGAATTTTTTTCCGGTATTGTATTCCCACGTTTGGTCCACGGAATCTTATATACTCTTTTCCCAAGAGTAGCATTTTTTGGTTAAAATGGTGGGAATGTCATTACCTCCAAATTCTTAGGTAATCTTATATTCTCACCTCTTTGGACAAAAATACCCTTTGACTAATGAATTCTTTTTATAATGATCTTTCTAAATTCTTATTCATTATACTTTACTCAAAATTATAAAAATAATAATAATATACAAAGAGTTTGATTTACTAAAATATAATAATTTTGAGAATTTAAAATATTTATATTTTTAATATTCAATATTTTACTATTTACAATTTTATGGGATGAAAAAATTAGTATTATATTCCTCCAATCAAATACTGTAATTTTACATTCATGCTAAACAAACCAAACAATGTAATACAATATTCCCATAGTAATGTTACATTCCATAATGTTATTCTCAAAGATATCTTATTCCGTGAACCAAACGTCCCCTAATGATATGTAAAAAGAAAAAAAACATAAATAATATTTTATTTAGATCTAAATCAAAAGAAAAAAAAAACCTTAAAAAGGAGGGAGACCACGACACTAAACTGCCACCTAAAGAAATACTTTAAAAGAGCTAAAGAGACTAAACAATGACACGAATCAAGCGACTTCGATATTAAAAGAATTATTTTTATTTCTTGAGTTTTCAGGTTCAAGCATTATTAATGTCAGTGGTGTAAGTATTTAATATTATAGTTAAAAATTATCTTTGAACATATACATCTTTGTTCTTACGTAAACTAATTAAAAAAACCTCCAACAATGATACCGAAAATTAAAAAAAATACTTGAAGTTTAATTTTAAGATTTTAAAATTAATTTATTTTTTCAATTGTGTATATGAATTGAAGTCCTTGCTCATTTATTTAAAAATATGGTTTTCGTTGATTAATAGACAAATTACATTTGGTCTAGTGTGATGAGGTATTAGATTCTTTGGGAGGATCGCCCTTCCCTTGGCAGTACCAAATCTAAATTAATCGATCAATAAATCGAATAGTAGTGATTAACTCAAAAAAAAATACATTTGCAACGAATACATTTATATTTGATTATTATTTTTTTAATAATCAGGAGAGGAAAGAAAAATTCTCTTTCTTAAAAGGTAACAAAAATTTAAGAAGAGATAAAATGTTAACCGAAAATTTTTAATCACATACTCTAAAGATTATTAAATATTATTAGTATTTATATGTGACTTATAGTTTTAACGTTTTAATTCCATTTGTTATGGATTTAATTTAATTATTCGGTTGTAAAGTCATATAACACTTGCAAGGTGCTTCTACAAGGTAATCTTTAGATATGTTAAACCAATATTTATTATTAAATCTATAACATACATAAATTATAAATTTAGTTATTATTCCAAATTAATCATAGTTATATTGTTTGCGAGACTGATTCCCAATTTTATATATAATAGGACCAATGAAAAAAATTGGCCTTCAGATTATGATCAATTTGTAAAGTGATTCGACTTGGTTCTTTTTTAGCTTTGTAATGTACACAATAAAAAACCAAGATAAATTTCCTTCGCAATTCAATTAAAGGCTGACAACAGTTCGACAGATTCTGAAAACTACGAAACTGAGATCGACACCATGAAATGAACCAAAACAAAATTCCAATATTCAAGCTAACATTAATATACCAAAAAAAAATCCATAACATGAAAAGATAAATGTGAATGTACATGAAGGGCTCTCAATCAGACGGCATCTATCTATTTATCAATATTTACAGCCATTGAACTTGAAACCCCGTTTCTGCACATACGAGGCAGGCAGTCGGCTCCGAAATGAATTAGCTATGGTACCAATTTACACGACCTAAATCTTTATCACCTTTTTTCCCTCCTAACGATCTCATCGTGATTAATGCGATTGTATCAGGTATAACACGAGCAGAAAATTGCTTTCGCTTCGGCAAAAGCCCACCTCTTCTGAATCTTCAGCCGATTTATTGTTTTTATTACTGCGAAATGGAATCACATCCTTCGGATGGATTCGTTGAAATGAATTCTATCATGAAACTACAACTACCTACTTCAACTTAAAGTTCAGTGGAAAAAGAAAATCTCCATTAATGACCCAATCCATAAAGCTCTCAGAATATTCATCCATGATACCATCACAAGTCAGATCGGATGCAGTTCGGTCGACTCCCTAAATAAAGAGAAAAGAAGGGATTGCATTCAACTAATAGGAATGGGAAAATCAAATGTATTAGAGAAAATTAAATACTAGCAACTATAACCCTAGTTAATATAGAAATACCATGTTTATATACATACAGCCTGCAGACGTGCTCTGTGCGTATGTGTGTGTGTAAGGATGATGGAAGGGTGCAGTAATTTAGTTCTTGTTAATTAGTTACAAGAAAACAGAATACTAACCTTTATGCTAGAACCAGATTCACTTGGAGATGTAGCTGAATCGATTCTTAGTTCAGCACCAATAATTTCAGTAATTTCGGCGGATAGGCCCGTGGTAGACCTGCAGAAAGAATCAAGAGGGGTTATATAAAATCAAGAATTTAAGTGTTTGCTATTTCTATGAAAAAAATATTGTGAACTTTAACTACCTATCATACACATCATCATCACATGAATTTCCTGATGAAGAAAGCCAGTCCATATCAAATTGGTGCAATTACATTCATCCACATTTTCATAACATACTCGATTACTTTCAAGAAATTGATCCTGCATATCTCCGAAAAGTTGCCTGCAAGACATTCTTGGAGTAAACCTAGAAAACCATAAAATTCTTGGTATATGAGACAGCTGATGAATTAAAACATTTAAGGCGATTTGGTATCATGGCTCCTTGATACAATCGAAGAACTACACACTCAACAGAAATTTGAAACAAGATGGGGAAAAGTTCAAACAGACCTGGAATAAGAAATGTCACGATTTGGCATTCCTGGAGTGGACTCTGAAAGATCATAGGTAGCCGCTTTATCTCTATTTCCAGACAGAGACCGATGGTGTCCGACATTTGATGCACCCATGGGAGAAAGGATGTTGCCATCAGACAGTGATCTTTTAAAAGATGTCCTACATATATTAGGAAGTGACCACTTTAGTGGTTATTGCAAGGAAGGTTTGATTTACCGTATAAAATAGGAAAGAATATTGCTTAGACCTGCATATTGTATCTGGAAATCGAATCATTTGACAACATGTAGTCTCAAAAAAAAAACATTGGAACTAGAGACTGGTATGAAATCTCATAGCAATTTGGAATTTCAATATACCTAGCATCCTCGTTAAGAGGGTTAGGACCATGCCTTCCAACGCTATAGTGTTGGTCTGAATCCAACTCCCAGAGTGCTGGTTACCCTGTGAGGCTGAAAGTGACCCAAGAACCTGCATAGGACAATGCAAAGATCAACAAGTGTTATTGTACACCACAATCCTTATGCACTGAAAGTGCACTTGGTAACATGGGAGTGAGTCGTTGCACTGGATCCTCTGTGCTACCAAGCACAGTATCATAATTGTCAGGGACTGCAATTTGCATGAAACTACATTCTGTGAGCTATAGAACTTGTTTTTAACTTACAAATTAATGGCACTTTGCTTTTCTGCATCTACGTATGCATTGCTATAGTAACGTTGCAACGTTCTAAAGAACTCCTGTGACTGAGTTGCTGCTTGCCATTGACCTCTCCTTTGGCAAAATATCTGTTTGACACAACCAATGCAGAGTAATGAAACATACTTGGGGCGGAACTTTTGGGTTTCAGTGCAAGTAAAGACAGATAATGATATATTGCTCTGAAGCAAACTAGTAAGCTCTGTTATCATAATACAATGCAAGTCACTCCCATGTTACTCCAAAGTTCCAGGGTTTACTATGCCATCTGAAAACCTAAAAACTAATTTGATGGCCATGGATGGAGCATTTATTAAATTTGATAAAGTTCTTTAAATTTTTTTATTTCATCGATTTCTTTTGGAATGATTATGAAAGCTCCCTAAATCTCTCAGAAGAATCACCTTGTTGTGGGCTGCAGATCCACCATACTGTAGAGCAAGCGTGTCACCCATTTTTTCATAAACTACCATTAAATCCTCAGCCAAAGGACTATTTTGATCAATAGTTTGGGATTCTGTGAACCCCATAGCATGGAGCTGGCGTCCAAGAGCCACCAAACCGTAAGAATATTGGGCAACATTAGTGCGATCTAGACAATCAATGCAGTTGGTTCTAAGGACTCCCCCTGGAACATGGGGGA